CACTTGCACAACGCAAACAAAGCATTCCGTTGTTAGTGCATTTTAATGAGCGCCGTGCGCCGCCTTGCCCAAGACACCGGGCAATGGTCACCGTGAGCGCTCACACCTGGGTCCACGTGAGCAACGGGATACCCGAACACAGGGGTCCACGGAACACCTGGGTCCACGGAACACCCGGATCCACGTGAGCAACGGGATACGTTACGTGGAACACAGGGGTCCACGGAACACCTGGGTCCACATGAGCAACAGGATACACGAAGCACAGGGGTCTACAGAACACCTGGATCCACGTGAACACATGGAACACAGGGACAAACGGACACGGACACACGGACACACGGACACAGACACACGGACACGGACACGGACACGGACACAGGACACAGGACACAGGACACGGACAAGCGGGCACGGACACGCGGACACGGACACACGAAACACATGGAGCAAACAGTGCATTTACGTTGGAGTGGTAGCAGCAATTTATACATCAACATATATGTAGATATCAATGTTCATCTAGTTTCATGTATGCAAAAGTTAGCTTTTTATTCTTCATAGACTTGAAATTTTAACAAAAATGTTAAAAAAGCAGCAACATCAAGCGACGTTGATTTCCCGGCAGGACTCTGACACGTTCATGTAGGTAAATCTAACATCGTCATGACACTTTGACATTAGCCGTTTTCACGACGGCCATCTGGTACACATTTGGTGCACATCTGGTACAGATTAGCCCTCGCATGTGTGCGGCGTTTGCCAGCTTCTAATGTGTAGGGGGGGGGGGGGGTCGGTTGGACCCCCCCTTGCCGTTTGGCCCCTGATCGAGCTAGAGCTTCGCGGGAAAAACGAGCGTGTTGCCCGTGACGAGAGGAAGCCGATGATACCCAATTTTAAGGTCCTAGGTCATTGGTTGACCTTCCAGGTCAGGTCAATGGCCCAAAGTCGGGAAAATCGGGACCTGTTAGAAAGTCGTAAAGTGTGGCTGCTAAGGGGTTTTTCGGGGTGCTGATCACGAATATCGTGTAAGTTTTGATCACAGATGATGTCTTGAAGCATTTAGACCAGGTCGGGTCAGGTCAGGTCAGGTCAACCAGTAGGCGTCGTGACGGGTATTCGTAGTACGTGTCAACCGCCTCTGACAGCTTCGTAACATGTTACGAAGTCACCAAAACTACTTCGTAAATGTTCAAATGGTTGCTAAATTCGAATTCAGCTCCAAAAACTAGCCTAGAAACATGTAAAACTCGAAAAAGTGACCCGAGGTCACCCGAGGTCACCAAAGGTCAATGACCTGACCTGACCTTCAGGTGACCTTGACACACACGGGAGTAACATCAAATCACATGTTTGAACGTTTGAAACCACGAAAAGCTTGCAAACACGCGGCTAGTGCGAGCCGACATACGCGAAATCGCGATTCCGGCCAAACATGGTCTCGGAAAAGAGGTCACAGGTCAAAGGTCATTTGGGTCAGGGTCATGAAATTTTCAGGGTAGGTGTCGAATTGATCAATGCGAGGGTACTGAAAGTTTCGTCGCGATCGGCCGCTTTTTACGCGAGTTATTCGCGAAAAACCATGGGGGGGGGGTGCATCCGACCCCCCCCCCCCTACACATGCGAGGGTTAGGTGCAGATTTAGTCAAATCAGGTTCAGTGTGTCTCTTAGCAGCTATCAGCTAGGATTACATTAATTGCTTACATGCCTGCTTTGTCATATTATCAGAGAGCATCATCGATTTAAACACTGAAATAAATTCATAAAATGAAGATATTTGCTGTAAAAGAAATTAGGTGCAGATTTGGTCAAATCAGGTGCATTCGCCGGGTAGCCCGTCGTGAAAACGGGTACTTTCACGTAATCGACGATGCCCAAAAATTATTGGCAGTTTCGAGTGTGTTTTATTTCGCTTGATATCCGTTGTTACAACATCGATTTCAACAGGCCATCCCTCCGAACTATCAGAAATGCCGAGCGCGACATCAGCCCCAGTCTCTGCTTAAAGTCACTCTCAGCACTCTAACTTCTGCCCAAAATCCATCCAGTGGGTCGCAAAGTTACATCACCCTCATCAGGTTAGCCCAGAGCTAGAAGTTGTTGTGCAGAGCGAAACACGGACAGTTTGGAGAGCGCACTGCAGCGATAATCGGTTTCGCCGCTTCTTGGTCGTTACAGGGAACCATTTGGAGCCGATTTGAGGCCGATTTTTTCCAGATTACACTTGAGACAATGCTAGAGTTTGGATAGTTCTATGAATCTATATGCTAGCACCTCAATTTGGTTATGGAAACCAGGATGTATTCTTGGTAAACCCGCACCCTGCTGGGGGGGAGGGGGTTGTTTGAACACCCCCCAGTGGTTTTTCGCGAATATCTCAAAAACGGCGGAGTGGAGCGCCGCCGTTTTTTTATACAACTTATCATACATCAATTCTACACATGTTGTGAAAATTTCAGACCAAGGTCATTCAAGGTCAGGTCACCAGGTCACTTGAAGTGACCTCACCTCATAAAAAGTGTCAATGTCTGCCACAGCTACACCGAGTGACCGATCGCTTTGAAACTTCCAGCGATTTCTAAGAGCAACAACGTGTACAAAATGTGTATCTAATAATTTTGATATCGATGGCCTAAGGTCAGGTCAATTTTGCGACCTCCCCATTATAAGTCAATGGGAGAAAATTGAGATGCGCCTTACATTAGATTACATTACAAACACTCCCAAACAATGAATAACAAATGGTTTAGACACACTGAACATGAAAATGGTGCCCGTGTCCCCTGTTTATGCCCCTGAGATCATCTTAGGTTACGATTGGTATCTAACAGTTTTTCGCAAATAGCTTTTGATGGAGGCATGCTAAAGCGATGAAAACGCCTTAGATGTGTTCAGCTCGACGATACGGATCGACTGATATGCAACATGACCCTTTCCGGTCAGGTCATGGCCTTGACCTGAGGTCAAATTTTCAAGTTGACCTTTCAAGGTCAAGTTATAGTTCATTCGATGCGTCTTGACGAGAGGAACACGATGCCGGTAAAAGTAAGCTCGCACAAGGCTTGGGTCAAAAGTTATTGCAGAAAAACTGTTTCCGAAAAAAATCGGTTATTTTTGCAGTTTTTGCCCCTGCAGGCAAAACCGTTGACGTAAGGTCAAATCTGAAAGAATTACTCAGGAAGGGTGTTATAGGGCTATCGAATGCGCTTTTCCGCGGCGCTGTAGCTCTATTGGTTCCCGAGTTATGCGTTGGCTTCTTGGAAATTGTCGACATTCGACCTGGAAATCGGCGAAATTTTGCCTTCAATGACCTCTGGTGACCTGACTTTTGACCTGACCAAAAAAATGACTGAAGTGATTTCGTCATTATTTTTGACGCTCTTTCGAACGCCGCCTTCCGCGTATCGCTACGTGGCCCAGGAGCCGAGTTAGAAGGGGGTGTTCAAACACCCCCCAGCAGGGCGTGGAAATCCAGGACCCCCAGCCGGGCACGGGTTAAACTGAATCAGGTGGCTAGACGCATAACGTTTATGTCTACCCAGTAATGCTGGACACAAATATAAATTGTTGTCGTCTTCGGTGGTTGGGTTGAGTGTGTTACTGCGCTGTCACCAAAAGTTGCCATTTGCATATATCCTGGGCCCAATATCACCAAGTGCGGTAAACTTAATTTGGGGTAAACTACCGACAGGCATCGGTAGGATTGTGATTGCAGGATTGCAAAATCCTGATTGCATTCCTTTTTGGTGGATTGCACCTGGATTTGAAATCCATTCCAAAAAACAGGATTTGATTGCGGATTGGATTGCATCATACTTCCAATTTTTGCAATCCAATCCGGATTGTGTTTGATAGGTGCTTTGAAATGGTTGTACTTTGTAGCGATTGAAAATTATGAGATCGGCTTCATCGGCTTAATGTACTTTGCTATCAAGGGCTTAACATCAAAACTTGAAATAATTTAAACGCTTTTAAGTTAAACGCTCAAAATAATATACGCTGATGAACTACATATGGAAGGGCAAAATTACGTATTTGAGGGCGAGTTTTAAAAATATAAAACACTGGTTGGGTAGAGGTTAAAATGTGGGGGTGTTTGAGGCAAAAAATATTTCCCATAAAATACATGTGCCTTAGATGGAATTACTAGCAAGACAGGTACTAGAAATGGGTGATTTGGGGATAGAGGCACGGCCCTCCCTCCCTCCCCCAGATCCACTAGTGCACATAATAATACAACAGGATTGCAAAAAAGGATTGCGGATTTGATCACAATCCAAGTGAAAACAGGGGATTGCGGGTAGGAATGCAATCCACTTCGGCACTAGGAATGTGGATTGGGAATGCAATCCTTTCTAAAAGGATTTTACCGATGCCTGACTACCGAACTATACCCCACTACGTAACTACAAAAAACTACCCCAAAATTGAGTTTGCCACCCTTGGTGAGATTGGACTCTGGGAAGTATTCGTGGAGATGTCATCGACATTCTCCTTATTCCATGAATCAAGATTGCGCAGCCGTTCAATAAAGAAACACAACGCAGGCCGTAGGGATGTAGATGAGACTCCGGCATCATGCGGAGATTTTCCGTTGTTGAGAAAGGTCAAATCAAATACACCTTAGCTCATCATCGACCCAGCTGCAGATAATCATTGCAAACGTTTCTTAGACAATACTCAGTACTCACGTCCTAATTCCCTGTACGCTGTGGAAAGGGTGTCGCCTCTTTGACTGACATCCGTTTATCCCCTGTGCTTCCGCAGAAGTAAGACCAATGCTGCAACCTTCTCCAGACTACTCAGAAAGCGGCAGAGGATAGAGAACCGTGCCTCCAGTCTAGCAAGTCGGCTGCTGTCCCGTCAGGTCAGCAGGTCGTCCCGTCAGACGTCACCAGGCCTTACCGTCAGCTCAGCAGCCGTCCACCCAGCAGCTCAGCGCGCCAGGTCAGGTCACCCGGCCTCATCAGGCCGCTCCGTCAGCTCAGCAGCCGGCTGCTCAGCAGCTCAGCGCGCTAGGTCAGGTCGCTCAGTCAGGTCAGCGTGTCCCGCCAGCTCAGCAGGCGTCAGCTCAGCAGCTCAGCGCGTCAGTTCAGGTCGCTCAGTCAGGTCAGAGAGCCGCTCAGCCAGCTCAGCAGCTCCGGTCGTCAGACTGCAGTTGGCCACCATGCTGTCACCGAAGATGCAGCGCGGAGTGCGCATCAACGATAACCAGCTGCTGATGCTGGCAGAAAAGGCGCGCTACGACCAGTACATGTGCGGCAGCCTCTACAAGAGGACGTGCGACAACTCCAAGTGGCAGCTGCGCTGGTTCAACCTCTATCAGGTGAGGAGACGAACAGATGGGTCAGCTGGGAATGTGGGGCTTTATGACCCTTTCGCAGGAATTATTTTGAGTCGACCTCTGATGAACTGCTGGCAACTACTGGGCTAAAATACATGGCTGGCATGGAACATTAATTCATCCAAAACAAAGTCTTTGGCAGGCTTTCGAATATGTGTTATATCATGTGCAAACTAATGCCTATGCGTAAGTAGTATCTGCACATAATTAGTCCATGTGCAATGATGGGGAATCTTGATGAAGGGCTGCTTGATTGCTTCATTGCTGACAATTGACATGTTCCATTTATTGTCCAACAGACAACGAAAATATTGATACAGCTTCATGCGCTGGTTCTGAGCGGTAATAAGTGTCGGTACTGTCAGCAGCACCGCCACTCTAATGCAGGGCCGGAAATGTTCCATTTGGACAAAGAGTGCTTCCAATCGATACCCAATATCCATGGCCCGCCGTGCAGAGCCTACCGCACATCCGTGGGCTTTACGGCTCGGAAGGCGCACTTTACTTCATTTGTTAAGTGATGGTCGTTGTCCGCAGTCGCCTCCCTTCTGCTAAGTATTTGAGTGCTGTTGATGGGTGTGAATTACGTTTACGGCACGTAACACGCGAATGTCAAAAATGATTGTGATTGATATTTAAAATGTGTAGGGAATGCTTCCACTAATTTGCTCAACAATGGGATGACGTATTCGAAGTTGTCGAAGCTTTCGAATTCGGGCGGCACAACATTCACTTCAACTAATTTCACTTAGCTCAACAATGGGATGGCATAGCCGAATATGTCTTAGCTTTATTCGGGCGGCACAACATTCGAAATTTGACCTAACCTGACCGGCGAGACATGTAAACATTCTCGTGCTGAGGAGAATTTGTTTCATTTCATTGCTCAAAAGCATTACAGCTCTATCGTCAAACATCTATCGGACAGGACCGTCTCATCCGTCCTATACTTTCACGCTGATCACTCAGCCGTTCGGCGCTGCCCTGACCGTTCTATGCTCGCGTCCAGTCCCATCCTGAGAGGCCTCACAGATCCACCTCATCTGCTGGGCAGAGCCGCCGCTGAGCCCCCCCCCCGGCCGCGGGGAGGGGGGGGGGGGGGGTCGGCGCGCACTGCTCAGTATCGCCCGGGGCGGCTGCGAACACGACTCGAGTGCAGCCCGCAGGAGGTCATTAGGTCTCGGCAGCCGGCGGGGAGGGGGGGGGGGGCTACCTCGCGGCTGTCGGATGGTCATGGCTCGGTCATTGCAAGGACAGGCGCCGCAGGTCACCGCACTGAAATGAGGGGGCGGGGGAAGCTGGGGAAAGGGAACATTCTTATCACTATCGTGGACGATAATTTGTGTCGTTTTTAGGATTTCCAGCACCGAAAATTAAAGAATTATGTTAGCATGCTGCTATGACCTATGACGCTCAAATTTGTGAAATTGTTTATAATGAGGATGATGGCGGTGGTTTTAGAGCGCACCATCCTCGAAACCATTTTGATTTACGTCTTCTGCAAGCTCACATTTGTCTTCTGGAATTGCCTTTTGTTACCAGACACGTTGTGAAATCACGGTAGCTAATAGCTATTCAGACGAAACCTCGAATAACGCCTCTGCTGGCTGTGTCGCCCCGTTCCCTTCACGTCGCACCGATGATTTAGCCGTGGTGTCGCACGCGATATCGTGTCTCACCGGGGCAGGGCACCGCCAGGCGTCAGTACCAGACGTGACATCCAGCTGAGGTCACTGGGGTCAGACGGGTCCGGGGTGTCCCCTGAGCCCCCGAGCGGCCACCACTGACAGCCCGGGGACGCTGTCACTGCCTGCCGCCTCGAATTGACGTCCGGCGGCCGCGCGGCTCCCGACGTGCGCGGACATTCGACACTGCGGGGTGTCATTCAGCGTTAGGCTGTAAATTTCTCGGCAGTTTTCAGCGCGCTCATGACAGCTGGGGTGACGGGTAGTGTTGTTTTCACGAGCGGATTGATTTATGAGGCGCGATGTCACCATGGGATTGTTGCTTGGACCGTCGCTGCCCATTACTTACCCGAGTCACCGTGGGGTTTCTGGTGAGGTTCAAAGCAAATGCTGGAATAAGACTTCATTCGTCTTTTTCTGGTCAGTATGTTTCATTGTCTGACGACGCATAACCTCATCATTAGCCTTAGCCTTTAACCCTCGCCCATGTAGGGGGGGGGGGTTGGTGCAACCCCCCCCTGAGGTTTTACGGAAATAGTGCAAAAACGGCGGCGCGCAGCGCCGCCAAATTTTGGGTACCTTATGGGGCAAACCTTGCGCATCTTTTGATAAAAAAAATTTGACCGGGTCATGTCAGGTCACGGAGTTATGACGTCACAAAGGGAACAGCCTCCGGCCGGATTTTCACAAACTGAGTGCCAACGCCCGAGGTTTCCTGCCGGTGGTACGGAGATCGGTTGATGGATCGTGATGAAACTTCCCATGCATGTTGGGGCAAGTATTGGCTATCATATGGTATAAGAAACTTGACCGGGTCAGGTCAGGTCACGGAGCTATGACGTCACAAGAGGAACAACGTCCGGTACTATTTTTGAAAAGCGCCCGAACCACTATTTTGCTAATTCTTGTCACCTCAATGGGAATATGCAGCAATATTAGCTTCTATAGGGAGCAAATGGACCTCCCAAATCCAAAAATACAATCAGATTTCAAAAATTTAAATTTTGATTTTTCGAATTTCTGCCGCCGACTGTGACCTTGCCGACTTCCGGCGCTCCCAACGCGCCATTTTTAGAGCTAGGGAAACGAAATACATACCAAACGATAGAGAATTGATCAAAGAACACGATAGTGAAGGTTTCAAGTCGATATCTCCCACCGTTGTGCCGCAATCGCCGCCGAAAGTTGAAAAAAGTCTATTTTTCCGAAAATTTGACCTTTGACCGGTCAAAAGTAGGTCAAATGTTGACCTAGGACCAAAAAATATACCACCAATCGCGAGATCTCGGCGAGAGCAATCCGTTGGTCTTTTCCGCTAAGCTCTACGACGCTCCGTTTTCAAACGCCAAGGGGGGGGTCGCACCAACCCCCCCCCTGCATGGGCGAAGGTGGCAGATCGCCGTTTACGGGCGAGGGTTAACCCGCGCCCTGCTGGGGGGGGGGGGGGGTGTTTGAACACCCCCCTTGTGGTTTTTCGCGAATATCTCAAAAACGGCGGCGCTCCGCGCCGCCGTCTTTGGTACACCTTATCATACATCAATTCTACACATGTTGTGAAAATTTCAGACCAAGGTCATTCAAGGTCAGGTCACCAGGTCACTTGAAGTGACCTCACCTCATAAAAAGTTTCAATGTCTGTCATAGCTACACCGAGTGACCGATCGCTTTGAAACTTTCAGCGATTGCTAACAGCAATAGCATGTACAAAATGTTTATCTCAGAATTTTGATATCGATGACCTAAGGTCAGGTCAATTTTGCGACCTCCCCATTATAAGTCAATGGGAGAAAATTGAAATGCGCCTCTTTTGGACGAAAGACATTATAAACACTCCCAAACACTGAATTACAAGTGGTGTAGACACACTGAACATGAAAATGGTGTCCGTGACCCCTGTTTATGCCCTGAGGTCATCTTAGGTCACGAATGGTATCTAACAGTTTTTCGTAAATAACTTTTGATACAGGCATGCTAGAGCGATGAAAACGCCTTAGATGTGTTCAGCTCGACAATACGGATCGACTGATATGCAACATGACCCTTTCCGGTCAGGTCATGACCTTAACCTGAGGTCAAATTTTCAAGTTGACCTTTCAAGGTCAAGTTATAGTTCATTCGATGCGTCTTGACAAGAGGAACACGATGCCGGTAAAGGTAAGCTCGTACAAGGCTTGGGTCAAAAGTTATTGCAGAAAAACTGTTTCCGAAAAAATCGGCTATTTTTGCAGTTTTTGCCCCTGCAGGCAAAACCGTTGACGTTAGGTCAAATCTGAGACAATTACTCAGAAAGGGCGTTAATAGGGCTATCGAATGCGCTTTGGTAGCTGTAGCTCTATTGGTTCCCGAGTTATGCGTTGACTTCTTGGAAATTGTCGACATTCAACCTGGAAATCGGCGAAATTTTGCCTTCAATGACCTCTGGTGACCTGACCTTTGACCTGACCAAAAAATTGACCGAAGTGATTTCCTCATTATTTTTGACGCTCTTTCGAACGCCAGCAGAAACACCCCCCCCCCCCCCCCAGCAGGGCGTGGAAATCCAGGACCCCCAGCCGGGCGCGGGTTAATAGCACTTTCAACACACATGTGGATAAATAATCACGTGGTCCTGGAATGCGCGTAGTGGTGGTGGTGGTGTGTGTTTGTATTTGTGTGTGTGCAGGGAGGAAGCCCAGTCAGTGGATATCAGTCAGCAGAGCGTCGGCATGCCAACTAGCTGGCATTCTCTTCTCCACGGCTGAGTCAAGGCCCTATAAACCGGCTGAGTAGGGAGAAGACATCGAACCTCCATTAGTGGTTGATACGAGAAGGGATACGGCGCTCCGTAACTAGCTGCGCTGAAGCCTGAACAGGACCAAAAAAGTTAAATCCCATAATGTGTTATGACCAAATACATTTGAGTTTCATAGTTTGACAATCTTTCGCAGCAAAGATGCCGTATGTGTTTATTTTCTTAAATGTATTTAACAAAATTGCATGATACCTTTTATTGGCTGAAACATGTATGTCTTGAAATATGCACGGATCAAAACAAAACACACACAATGTCGTTAAACGCCAACTGATGCCGGTAGTATTCATTCACTGTTGTATAACTCATCACAGTATACGTCAGTCGCGAAGACAGGTACAGGGGTAATTTAGGAACACCATAAGTTAGGATTATCACTTCTAAATCTTGCTGATACCTAACCGAAACACCATGAATAGAACTTCACACTGAAATTGCGCCGACCAGAGGCAGCTGGGAGCGCATCGCCGCGCTGGCTAGTCCAATAACGGCATATTGAGCCGCTAAGAGGCGGCTCAGGCGCGTTACATATGCATGAGAGTGTTACTGGGAACTTCTAACGCCATTGTTCAAACCGTAATATGAGACGGTGCCTTTGGTGAGCCTCCCGGCCCGTCACCGTTTCCGTTTGCTTTTGTTTGGGATGGTGGCCGGATGGCGCCAAGCACAAGTCCGTGACGAATCTCTTCTGACCTGTTCAAAGAATGGGACAGTGATTGACAGCATGGTGAAGTGCGTAATGCAAGAATAGTGTGGTGATAACTTCCGTCACGTAGCTTTTCATGTGTCTAGTCTCTGCCGTCTCATTTATGTACTGCCGCCCGGCTGCGGCGCGGCGGTCGCCTGCGGGTTAGACTGTTCCGCCGTACAGCGCACTGGAAGGTAGACTGTGCCGCACGACTCGTTACTCCGTGCGTTCGGCAGTAGGGCTCGCCGCATATACCGGCCATTCCGTTGGGAAAACTGGGAGGTTGTTGGCACCGATCAATGACGGGCTTCTATGGGCACATAATAACCCATCAGAGGGGGTGACGAATGTGTGCACCTAATTATTATATTTTCTTATTGATACAATAAGCATGAGAAGAATGCGCATATCATCGGTTGCGACACGTCAGGAAACGTGCAACATTTCCATCTGTCGTACTTCACTGGTGAAAGTTTCTGTTTTGCATCGATGGTAACTTAAGACCGGGTTACATGTTCGTTACATCGTATATGTGTTTGTTCGTTGGTATATCAATGTGTTAATGTAATTGAAGAGTTAATGATAAATTACGGATGTTGGTACGCATGGAAAAGGAGGTCTTGTTTATGATTCTAAATTCTACTAAAAAGACTGTTATTCAACTAGTATATAATTGGCTGTGAAGCTAAGATCTCTATTTTAACCTCCGGTCGATTTGGCCAGCTAGCTGCTTCTGTTTGCACATCCACTTGAACCAATACTATTTCAGACTATAAAATTGCCAGTAGCCAGCAAACGCTTCCCAGTTCTCTCATATTCCTAGGGAGGATATTATTTGTGGGCCCTTTCACCGAGGAATACTACATCTATTTCGGCGTGTGTCCGGCGGCGCTGGCCCGGGCGCACTGATTGGTGAGCGGGCTCCGGTTTTTGTTCGCTCGCCATACAGTGCGGGTCAATTACGGCCGGGCCGGCACACGAACGCGGCTCTATCACTGGGCTCCGGAGGCGCACTCGGTCCGCCCCGGCGCCGCTCTCGTATTCCGCGCCGGGCCGCTGATCTGGGCTCATCAGTGGACGCAGAGTCCGCTCTGGAGGTCCACCTCCACACAGGGCGACCAGAACACCGGCAATGGAGGGAATGGCGCCATCGATCCCATCGGCCGCCGCACTGAACGGAATGAAAGTAATTTGACGTAGACGCGCTACACGATAATCGTAGTGTAGCGATGTATGGTAATAGTCGTAAAAAACCTAAGTGGAATGCTGCTTTGTTATGTGGATCCAGTGATAAAATCTTTTAGACCCTCAACATTGTTTATTCAGGTCGTTCTTTGGTGCTATAAAGTACAACGAGTTATTATGCAGTAAATCATACATTGAACAGCCTATGTTACTTTCCTTTTGGAATCTATTCTATGCATGAAATAGGAACTGACTGCACTATAGTGCAGTCAGTACTTCTCAATTCAGGTACAATGCTATATTTACATTCTGAAATGCTATTTAGGCTGTACTTACCGCTCGGTGTCAGCTCGGTGTCAGCTGGAACCGTTTGTTTCCACTGGGTTTGGGACTTGACCGCATAGAATCCAGAGGAGCTGATATTGACACGGCCGTCCGGTTTGTGACAAGCCATATCTTGACATTCCCCGCCTTGCAGCCGAGCCCAGACAAATTTGGATGAGCTTTGTATGTACCGGTAACAAGCGCTAATAAGCGGTCGATGGCTCACTAAACCATCTGTATCAAGTTACTAGGGTTCCCCAGCACGTGGTTAGTGCAGTAAGGTATCGTAATTATTTATCATCGAGTTTGCTTATAAAAAAAAAAAATTCCTCACAACTGTTATGCTGCGCTTGTCAGCCTCCGGCTGTCATTTTTCTTGCCTAGACTCAGCAATATTGCCCTGTCTACCCTCTAACCCACGTCTGTGTGTCCCTCAGAACATGCTGTTTTACTACGAGACCGAGTCGAGCAGCCGCCCGTCGGGGGTGATCCTGCTGGAGGGCTGCTACTGCGAGAGGCTCATCACCACCGCGGCCAAACCCAAGGACACCGAACCGCTGGTAGGGGGCGAGGGAGGGACTGTGTCTGTCTGGGCCCACGGGCGGGGTGGAGGGGCAAAAGTGGTGGGGCGGGGCGGGGGAAGACTCTGGGACTATGACGTACAAGTGTGTGAAAATTCTTATCTTCGTGGACAGTTTGTGACTTTGTGTTGAAGCAGGTGTTGAAGTCTTTTTTTTTCTTTAGATGCATATTTTCGACATGCAGCAGTATGCAAATTTTTGTTGCATTTGAGTATCGATGCTGATACAGGGAGCCTGTTCGGCTTTTGACATTTGACTGTTGCCCGTTGCCGGCAGTACTGTCTGTCAATAACATACCGCCGGGAGAACCAGAGGCAGTACGACCTCCGAGCCAACTCTGAGAGCGAGTGCAAGTCCTGGATAGAGGCTATCCGACACGCCAGGTCAGTCGCGATGACGTCACACAGCTCGCCCAGTCAGCAACCAGTCTATCTGTGCGCCACTGCTGATGAAGCTATAAAAGTATACCTATGCAGTATGCACATCTGCCAGTGTCATTCTGTCAATTAACCTTTTTTTGTATTTTTCCAGTTTCAACAGGCTCCTGCTTCAAAAGGAGGAGCTGGAACAGAAGCATCTGCACCTGCTGCAAATTGTCGAGAGTGAGAAGACGGCGAAATGGCAGTACTCACAACAATGCGACGAGCTCACCACAGAAATAAAGAAGCTTAGAAACGAGGTAAAAATCTGATCCATATGTCATTTTCAACGTTACAGATTTATTTCGACTGGTATTTATATAATTTATCATGCATGCGTTTTGTTATGACTAGCGTGCATGGTTACCGTCCATTTCTGATTGAAATATTATTCGAGCAGGCAGCCCCTAGGAACATCCATACTTCTTTCTGTATGCAGAACGTCCAAATGCCTTCGAACGCCGAATACCACCGAGCCCCCTACAGTCACCGTGCCTTCTGTCATCGAGCCTTTCTCCAGTCACCGAGCCCTCTCCAGGGGGCTTTGTGACTGTCTGAATAGGCTCGGGGACTGTCTGGGTAGTGTCTGAATAGGCTCGGGGACTGTCTGGGTATAGGCTCGGTGACTGTCTGAATAGGCTCGGTGACTGTCTGGGTAGGCTCGGTGACTGTCTGGGTAGGCTCGGTGACTGTCTGGGTAGGCTCGGTGACTGTCTGGGTAGGCTCGGTGACTGACTGTCTGGGTAGGCTCGGTGACTGTCTGGGTAGGCTCAGTGACTGCAGAGGGCCGGTGGCTGTTTGAGGAGGGCGGTGACAGAGGGCTCAGTGACTGCAGAGGGCTCGGTGACTGCAGAGGGCTCGGTGACTGTCTGAGGAGCTGGCGGCGCTCTCTCCCGCCGCTGTCGGCCATCGATCTCTCGCCGGCAGTGCCGTGCCCGATAGGCCCGTCGCGCCGGGTCGGCAGTTAGCCGACTAATTGCTCCCAACTCGGCGCTGAGCGACCGATTGGATGCGGGTGTCACCGGCCAGAGCTCTCCTCCCCCTGGATTTACTCAGCTGTGCCGTGCAGTTACGTTAGTCTTGTGTGTTATGGGCTTGTCAACGCGAAGAAAACCAGACCACCAAATTAATAGAGCGGTGTTACATATGATAAATGTGTCCGAACTGGATGCTGAGGTGGAAACGCCCACTGAATTACTTTAAGAATATAATTTTCTAGTTATATGTAGTTTCTTTTGTGGTTGTGGATGCCCTTTGCGTCATGTGGAAATGTGAAGGTGACAAATGAGACATCTCATCGGCGGACCATTTTGGTGATAGGAACAGGTAATATACCGACCTTTATATGCACATGCATGTACCTTGTGGTTCATTTTTCCCCCTATAGTTTTATGTATTCTGTTTCACATAAACCTTACCTTAGTGATGTAAGCAAGCGGTGAGTAAACATTTGTGACTCAGACATTTGGCAAACCATACGATAAACAGTTGTACTTGTTTCCGTAAACTTAAGCCATGCCATGCGCGCGCTGGCAGAGGCAAGTGGGCGGCTAATGAACCACGCACAACATATCGGCGTGTTCTGACATTGTTCTCATTTCCAGCTCTGCAGTCTGAAGAAGGACTGGCGGTTTTTGCCCCGCCAACAGTCCGAGGAGAGCGAAGAGTCTGATGAAATAAAGAAGATAAAAAAGGTGCAGAGTTTCTTTCGCGGCTGGCTGTGCCGCCGGCGATGGAAACAGATTGTCGAAGAATACATCAAATCACCGCACGCCGAGAGCATGCGAAAGAGGAACAGGTACGTTATTAGAGAGACATACAAATACACTGCAAGTTCCTGGGCTTTAATTAATTACATAACTGCATTCAATCGAGTTTTTTTTTTTTTGAGTAAGTGGCTTTGATTGATCCATGGGGGTATGCTGAAAGAAGTCATACATTAGGTATTTTACGAATATATCATTTTGAGAGAGAGAGAGAGAGAGAGAGAGAGGGGGGGAAGAGAGAAAAAAGAAAGAGAGAGGAGTACCTATATGGTAATCACTTTGAACAACTCAGTTTGCTCTTGTTCCAGTCTGGTATTTCGAATGGTGGAAGCAGAAGAGGAGTATGTAGAACAGCTAAACATCTTAGTGACGGGGTTCCTGCGGCCGTTCAAAATGGCCGCCTCCTCCAAACTGCCGCCGTGCAGCCACGAGGACGTCAACTCCATCTTCCTCAACTCTGAAACGCTGCTATTCCTCCATCAAATATTCTTAAAGGGCCTTTCAGCTAGAATGGAGAGCTGGCCAACCTTAGTGCTGGGTAAGTGTTGAGTAGAGGTGCAACATTTCCCCATAATCTCACCACACCACTGTCCTGTAAGTTTGCGGAAAACTGCTCGAGTAAAAAATATGCAACCACGGTGATTGTAATATGCGGTCATCTGCAACGAGTAAAATAATTTAACGTTACGATATTACAAGTAGATAGAGGAGAGACTATCATCAACGTTTTCATGGACAAAAGGTTAGATTTATTGGTCAGACATGCTGCACCTCTATCAAAGAAAGACGACGTTCTGATATCTTATCTTTTTTTGTAATGCCTTATTTTATCATGTATGAGCCCGTAAAGAACAACGGCGGTTATCTTTAAATATCTGGCATGAGCATGGGAATTATGTCGTTAACTACATATTTTAGTTCCTTTTTAAACCAAATAATTCAAACATCGGAGCATTACGATGTTATACTCGTTTTTTATGTATTTTCGATTTGTGTATAAAGATTCGTCAACTCGCATTCTGTGTTCCGGAACACTAGACAGCGTCTCAGGCATTCTCATTTTCAACGTAGGAAAATTCACAATATTATATTTTCTTTTTGCTCGTATCATATCAGCGGAAGTGTTTCCGGGCATCATAATGCGATTTTTCGATACCTCGGGTATGTACGGGCAGTATATTACACGGGCAGCTTTTGTTCTAGCTTTGCCTTGCTTTCTGGGGGTTTCTGGGTGGTTGGTGGGCCGTTCCCGCCTGGCCTGCACGCTGCGGCGCTGGGCAGCAGTGAGAGGCCTGTGCTCTGTCTCTGTCGATACCCGGCGGCTTGGGGCGCGGCAGGCGCGGCGGGCCAGCGGGACTGCGGTCCGTGCGGTCCGTCTCTCACACACATCTGACCTGTTCACAGATCACTGCCGGCCTATATGTGCTCCATTAGGTATGTGGCGTCCGGCTGCCGAGTCTTGTCAGTGTCGTGGTGCCACTTAGAGTCATGCTGTCTGACTGTCGGCCCTCTCCACCGTGTACTCGCTGTCCGTCCACGGGGGTCAGACGCACACAGCGCTGCAGTGACCTGACCGCATGGGTGGTGTGGTGAAAAAAGCCAGCACAGCGGACGACGGGCACTGGACAGTATAGCGGACGGTGGACAGTCGCGGACATGTAACTGTCGTGGACGCAGATCAATCGCGGACACCGGACATTATACAGTCACGGAGACGGCTATAGGAGGTGACACAAGACAGTCGCGGACACTAGTCAGTCGCGGATACTGGACAGTCGCGGACACTGGACAGTCGCGGACACTGGACAGTCTCGGAAATAGTCACAGGAGGGGACACTGGACACCCGACGGTCGCGGAACACTTTCAGGAGGGGGGGGGGGGGGGGGGGGCACCGGACAGTCGCGGACACGGTCACAGGAGGGGACATTAGACAGTCGTGGACACGGTCATAGGAGGGGACATTAGACAGTCGTGGACACGGTCATAGGAGGGAACAGCATAATTTTTGCGCGCCTGGGAGACTTATCAGTAGCGGAACGGGAGCCAACGGTTATTAGAGAAGATAATCCGTGAAACGGATGAACAATAGGATGCTCAGTTTTCATCTTCTTTCACCATTAATCTGCGTCCGCCTAAGTGATATTTGGTTGTTGATTTGTGGCTTCCATGTCTCGTAATTTTGTGTTTGGTTTTGTCGTTTACTGCGAGGGAGTCGTGATCTCTAGCATTTGGTGTTTCTTTGCAGCAACACCACTTGAGGTTATTTTTTCATATCTAATCACATTGTTTGATGCAAAGTAGACATAATATCCATAGCATATATGTCATAAGGATAATAGTTAGTTTCATACACAGCACTGACAGAGGCAATATCAGTCCCGAGTTTCACATATTGGCAAAAAAGTGATGAGATGTTGGCCAATGTGGAGTGAATAATGTCTAAATATTGTGGTGTATCAGTGAAGAATAGTTTTGGTTTGACACGCTGCATGCGTTCCCAGCTACCTTGGTTCCAGTCACCAGAGAGGAATGCGTAAAGCGCATGCTGCACCAGGAATGTCCCAATGCAGTGCAGATACCCAGATATACCACGATGCATCAGTAACAAGAGCACGATGTTCTTCTTCCACCCACTAGCCTTTTTTGATAGAGGTAGCAATATATTATAGTTAGTTACTGGAAAGTTATTCAAAGTACATACAACATTCATATGCAGCAAAGTGCTTTGCAAATAGCTGTTAGCGTTGAAAACGAGCATTAAAATGTAAGCACTTTTAATACAATGCAGCGAATACCAAGTAAATATTGGAACTATGTCAAAGTTACTCTTGCATAGCCATTTGTAAGACATCATTGCTATCAATGGAACAGTCTTTTACAAAACTAAAGCATGCAAACTATGACGTGATAACGTGGATTGACGTTTCTGCTCGGAGCGACGAAATTCTGTGATCACAGTCATAACGAAAACAGCATGAAGTTGCAGGCATCTTGGTGTCATTTAATGACGAAGCTGCACGGGTCTAACTCGGAGCAAAAACATAACTATTTTCGATCAATTGCAGTGTTTCTCGAGGCTGATTGACTCAAATGATGAGTGCATTTCCCTGTCTTATTCTCGGCGCAATGGATTCTCCGCTGGGCTGAAGTTCCCACAGCCTAGCCTGTGAAAACCATTGTTTCATTTTTAAACAAATAGCTGACTTAACCCTAGAACGCCTAGGGGGGGGGTTGTATCAACCCCCCCCCCCGAGGTTTTTCTTAGCTACACGCCGAACCGTTTCAGATAGCCTGCTCAAATTTTCAGTACCCTTTGGGGCATCCTTTGCGCAACTTTTGTTTTTTTTTTGTCAAGGCCATGTCAGGTCACGGAGTTATGACGTCATAAAGGGAACAACCTCCGGCCAGATTTACGCTAAATTGGAGATTGCTTCACATTGTTATAAATGCCGACTGACCTGACGCACTGATGGATTGTTTTATAGAATCACAACTGGCTGATTTGACATTGGCACAATGTCCGTTGACATTTTGAAGGTCACTAAAGGTCAAGGTAAGGTCATTGACCTCGGTTGACCTGTAATGACTTCTTGCACTTGTATGCCATTTCGGGGTATTTTGATGCCCTGAATTCGAATTTGCTATCCATTTCAGGCATCGTCGGTTGTTTCTTGTAGTTCATTTTGGGTCAGGGTCAGGTCAGTGACGTCACACGCCTGACGTGACCCAATGGACAAATGACCTTGCAGACTTCCGATGCTCCCAACGCATCATTTTTAAAGTTATGACATCGAAATACACACCAAACGATAGAGAATTGATCAAGGATCACGTTAGTGAAGGTTTCAAGTCGATATCTCTTACCGTTTTGCCGCAATCGGCGCGGAAATCTGAAAAAAAGTTAGATTTTTCCGAAAATTTGACCTTTGACCGGTCATAAGTAGGTCAAATGTTGACCTAGGACCAAAAAATATACCACCAATCGCGAGATCTCGTTGAGAGCAATCCGTTGGTTTTTTTCCGCTAAGCTCTACGACCTTCCGTTTCGAAACGCCAGGGGGGGGTCGTAACAACCCCCCCCCCCCCCCGGTCGTTCGTGTTATGAGAAATGGCCTGGTCGTGCGAGGGTTATGAGATACGATTATGCAAAAAAAAACAAAAAAAAACAGGGAGCTCGGCAAACTGGCAGCTGAGAAAATCATCCGTAGAAAATGAACCTCTAGTTCAATGGTGATGTTCATGAGCATTTACTTTTACTTACCACCCTCGTCACATCACCATGTAGGTATGTACAGGGTGACACAAAAAAGCGGTCATCACCAAAATTCGAATAATTTCGGAAGTTTTATTCAGATCATCACCAAACTTCAACCACTTTAGGTCACACCTATGTAGCATACATCCACCAAGTTTCAAGTCTTCACTACGAATACTATTAGTACAGTGTGTGTTTTACTGACGCTCCACAATGTGCTCCAGGTGAGCGCCCCGGCGCTGCAGGGCGTAGGCACACCTGCATCCGGCGGGCAAAGTTGTCGATAACCCGATGGCTGTGCACTTTACAGAGTGCAATGGCCTCTGGAGACAGTGCTCAGGGGGTGCTACCCCTGAAACGTTATTCTTATCGGGTTATCGACAACTTTGCCCGCCGGATGCAGGTGTGCCTACGCCCTGCAGCGCCGGGGCGCTCACCTGGAGCAATTGTGGAGCGTCAGTAAAACACACACTGTACTAAAAGTATTCGTAGTGAAGACTTGAAACTAGGTGGATGTCTGCTACATAGGTGTGACCTAAAGTGGCCGAAGTTTGGTGATGATCTGCATAACACTTCCGAAGTTATTCGAATTTTGGTGGTGACCGTTTTTTTGTGTCACCCTGTACCAGAAGCCAAGTCATTAGTAAGCGAGGCTACAATATAGGTACATTTGGTCAAAGGGGTTTCATAGTAACAGATAATCTTCAGCCACGAAAAAGAAGGGCCAATGTTTTTTACGGAGCGAGCGAAGCGAGCGTAGTCTTTCCTTAGATTAACGGAAATTTCTGAGTATGAGCGGCCGGCCGGCCGGCCGGCCGGCCGGCCGGCCGTGGTCACGCTTTTGCGAGGCTTATATCTCAGCAACCACTTGACCGATTTACATGCGGTAATTTTTGTAGGGTAGCTTCATTCCTTCTACCAAGTATTGGACTATTCCCGATGCATGTGGGTGACCCCTTATGCACGTGCCACGTGCAAAACGAAGAGGTGTCACTTTTGCAATTGTTGCAATATCTCGGTAACTACTTGGCCGATTGCGCTGAAAGTTGGCATGTAGGTAGGCACCCACTATGCAATGCAGATCCATGTGCCAGAGTTGAGGTGCTGCTGCACGTGCGCACGTGCAGGGGTCGATTCCAGATCTCGAGAACGGCTGGACCGATGGCGCTCAAATTTGGTACATGGTTAGGGACCGGTTAGTAGGGTGCCGTGCAAAAGTCAGTTGGGACCCATTTTGCACGTGCGCACGTGCAGGGTGCCGCCTCCAGATCTCGAGAACGGCTGGGCCGATTGTGCTCAAATTTGGCACATCGCTAGAGACCGGTTAGTAGGGTGCCGTGCACAACTCAGTTGGAGGTACTCCCTCGCAATTTCGCACGTGCAAGGCTCACCCTCTCGCTCGCTCCGTTAGTCGCCCCAAAAGGCGTTATACTGGTCCATTATCAACGTAATTCAAGAACCAGATGATTACGGAGCGAGCGAAGCGAGCGTAGTCTTTCCTTAGATTAACGGAAATTTCTGAGTATGAGCGGCCGGCCGGCCGGCCGGCCGTGGTCACGCTTTTGCGAGGCTTATATCTCAGCAACCACTTGACCGATTTACACGCGGTAATTTTTGTAGGGTAGCTTCATTCCTTCTACCAAGTATTGGACTATTCCCGATGCATGTGGGTGACCCCTTATGCACGTGCCACGTGCAAAACGAAGAGGTGTCAGTTTTGTAATTGTTGCAATATCTCGGTAACTACTTGGCCGATTGCGCTGGAAGTTGGCATGTAGGTAGGCACCCACTAGGCAATGCATATCCATGTGCCAGAGTTGGGGTGCTGCTGCACGTGCGCACGTGCAGGGGTCGATTCCAAATCTCGAGAACGGCTGGACCGATGGCGCTCAAATTTGGCACATGGTTAGGGACCGGTTAGTAGGGTGCCGTGCAAAAGTCAGTTGGGACCCATTTTGCACGTGCGCACGTGCAGGATGCCGCTTCCAGATCTCGAGAACGGCTGGGCCGATTGTGCCCAAATTTGGCACATCGCTAGAGACCGGTTAGTAGGGTGCTATGCACAAGTCAGTTGGAGGTACCCCCTCGCAATTTCGCACGTGCAAGGCCCACCCTCTCGCTCGCTCCGTTAGTCGCCCCAAAAGGCGTTATACTGGTTACGGAGCGAGCGAAGCGAGCGGAGTCTTACGTAGAATAACGAAAATTTCTGAGTATGAGCGGCCGGCCGGCCGGCCGTGGTCACGATTCTGCGACACTTGTATCTCAGCAACCACTTGACCGATTTACATGCGGTGATTTTTGTAGGGTAGCCTCATCCCTTCTACCAAGTATTGGACGATTCCCGATGCATGTGGGTGACCCCTTATGCACGTGCCACGTGCAAAACGAAGAGGTGTCACTTTTGTAATAGTTGCAATATCTCGGTAACTACTTGGCCGATTGCGCTGAAAGTTGGCATGTACAGGGTGGAAAGTAATTACGCGAACATACTTTTTCGTCTTATAGCAATGGAAAAAGCGGCGGGTGACATGAAAATTTCATCCTTTCATATATTCCTATTTATGTGCGATACACTGACAAAGGCGTTCAGGCATAATTGACATGAGCATGTCAAGCACCGTTGGCCAAAGCTTAGTCCACGCCTCCTGGAGCTGTCTGGAGAGGCAATCGATGTTGGTGGCTACTAGCAGCTCTTAGACGCTCTCCTGAAGAGTCGCCTGGATATTTTTGATCAAATTGAGGTCTGGGCTATTCCCAGATTGACCATTATATGCCCAGAAGAAGAACCGGTTCTCAAAGCACCAGTCTTGCGTCTTTTTGGCCGTGAGAGGAAGGACTTTATCAATCATGAAGAAGAGTTTCTTTGCGTCGGGCACAAAAGTGCGCTCAATCATTTTGCCCCTTTTGGTGCATTGGTGGATTAGATAAAGAGACTCGTCTGGAAGGATGTTCCACTAGTTGTATACTTTATTTTTGGTTGCCTTTTTGGTCACTACATGCAATTCTGACACCATCCGGGCGCTCATAACACGCTGATGTGTGTTCCTTTGCCGGATGTTTGAAGGTTGGGACGGGCGGGACGTCGGACGCATCAGCAGCCCCCAACGCGTTGTTCTGCAGGTTTGACGGATGAAATAGCTTCGAAGATGTCTCACCCAACCACAAAGCCAGCTGCCTGTTCTCCTCTGTTCAGGTTTGCCGGTCTTTAGAAAACTTAAATTGACAATCCTGCTGTGAATTCATGAAATTTGGCCATCTCGATTGTTTGTACGGCTTGATTTTCGAATTTTCACGGATTTATGTATGAATCGTGATATCATAGATCGGGTACCCGGCCATAGTAAACCATTTCGCCTGTTTTTGGATCGACTGTTGTCGTTTGGTCGCGGAAATGGTGACCACCCATTCGGCGCCTGAATTCGCCGAGGTTTTACTGCCGCCAACGGCTTTGCTTTTTAAGTCCTCTTAAGTTTTATTATGCTTCAACCAAACGTGTAATTGAGTAATGCTGGTGCCGAGACCGTTCCGAGTCCCTTCCGCACCAATCCAGCCAAAATAATCACAAACGCTTTCCCTGGTAACACCAAATTGCGATCTTTGCACATTGTGGTCTTGTGCAGCGTATGGCGTCTGCACCATTCGAAGTCGAGACGTATTGTAGACCTTCCAAGTCATTTTTCAAAGTAAGGTCACTTTTGGTAGATGAGGCGACAACAAACACGACCAATCATGTTCCATGACAGCCCGCGCTTATACAAAATCTCCACTGACGGGCGAAATTGTAAGAAAATACATGTTCGCGTAATTACTTTCCACCCTGTAGGTAGGTACTCACTAGGCAATGCATATCCATGTGCCAGAGTTGGGGTGCTGCTGCACGTGTGCACGTGCAGGGGTCGTTTCCAGATCTCGAGAACGGCTGGACTGATTGCGCTCAAATTTGGTACACGGTTAGGGACCAGTTAGTAGGGTGCCGTGCACAAGTCAGTTGGGACCCATTTCGCACGTGCGCACGTGCAGGGTGCCGCTTCCAGATCTCGAGAACGACTGGGCTGATTGTGCTCAAATTTGGCACATCGCTAGAGACCGGTTAGTAGGGTGCCGTGCACAAGTCGGCTGGAGGTACCCCCCTCGAAATTTCGCACGTGCAAGGCCCACCCACTCGCTCGCTCCGTTAATCGCCCCAAAAGGCGTTATGCTGGTAATAAATTAAAATGAAAACGGCATGAATCACCATGAGGCAGAAGAGACTAATAACAATCCGCAGGGAGCGAGCAACATACTGTCCTTTTGACAGGAGCTCATGGAGCCTCGTCACCTGTCCTGTCTGATATCACACAAACCGCACATACTCTCGGAGTCCGTTCGAGCCGCGGGTCGGATCGCTCTGCTCCGCTGCGGAGGGCTCCCTGTGGCGCTGAGCGATGGCGGTGCTGATCCGCTGCCGTTCGCCGCCCATCGAGCGACTCTCGCGGTCCGCCGCGGCCGGCCCACACCCCTCAAAGGTCTGGCGACACGGCCGGGCCGCTGTGGATTCAATTTGCACGCGGCACACGCCGGGCCGAGAGCCCCCTCACGGAATGAGTGTCGCCCGATAACCCGTGCTTTGGTGTTGACCAGTGTGGTTATTGAGACGTGCGCAGTGTTGCCCTTGCATGTTATGACAAAACTCACCAATATGTAGTGAAAAGTGCCCACGTCGTGTTCGCCCCATATACCCCAACACCACTCTGACTATTAGGAACCCGCCCTGTAACCAATTGAATCCAGTCGAATTGGAGAGGAGTGGGGGGGGGAAGGGGAGGTTAGGCCATCAGCACAGATATCCTCCTTACATGTACTAGTATGTTGGTACGATATTATGGTACGATAAGCGTGAAATGTATGTAAAACTTACAACACGAATCTTTTTTTCACAGTAAAACAGCACCGTTGGTTATCGAGACAGCTTGACAATAAAGGGACAGGGTTTTAGCATTCTATTTTATATATTTTTCACTAGCACTAGCTGTGATAATAAATTATATACATAACGGGCAAATCAAATGGCAAATCAAATGGCCTTTACCGTGGTCTCCCGGCAATTCTCTTCTTGATTAGGTACCTAATTGAGTTTGTGTTAGCTACATTTTTCTCCTTTTATTTTATGTAGGTAAATAAGCTAATTTATAATTTTACTGTAAAATTATGACTTATTACCTTACCACTTAACCGTAGATCCACCCTGACCACCCTTACATTTTACACCCCTCCCCTCCCCATTTTTACCATACCTTTTAGAGGTGCAGATGTCAAACTCTGTTATGGTAGCCAGCCTTTCTTGCTATGCACTCGATTTGTTCATTCCATTGCAGGGGACCTGTTTGACATGCTACTACCGATGCTGAGCATATACCAAGAATATGTTCGCAACCATCACTACAGCCTACAGGTGAGTGTACGAGTTTAACGTGTAACCTACAGGGCCTGGATGAAGGTAAAATAACTGCATCATAGGAGAGTGAGGCTATTTGTAACTGTCTCAAATATCGATGGTTATTGCATGTCATAGTTAGCTTTTAAAATGTACATATACACATGGCCTCCGCGATTGCAAAAAAAAAAAAATGGGGCCTGGGGGCCTTAAAGGCCAATGTAACAATACTGCAGAGCCCAGCACGTTATACTGGCTTGCCGACTGTGAATGGCGCTGTACTCCACTTCCCAGTGCTCTTTCTCCGCATTTTTTTTCAAGAAAAAGTCCCGTCACAGTCTTCAATTTGTGAATGCTTCTATAGGTACTTCCTAGGTTTGTTGACTGGAATCAAAATATCGTCTTTGAGTAGACCCTTAGGGCGAACTCCAACAAGACAAAACGAAGGCTCATCAAGGCTGTTTTCGACGGCTTTGACTGGTATCATTGCGCAAAATTTGGAGCTTGAACCAAGCTGTTACTTGGCAGTGCTAAGGGCGTTTTATGGTAGTGAGTTGATTTGGATAAGTCAAGGTCTGCTGGCTATATTCAACGTCGTGTATCATCCAATATCTCTCTTTCGGGAAAGTCAGTTGTGAGGGGTAATTCAATGGATTACATCACAGTT